GTTTGTTCAAGCGTTAGAAGGTTCTAGTGGTGTTAAACGTTTGTTCAAACGTTAGAAGGTTCTAGTGACGTTAAACGTTTGTTCAAGCGTTAGAAGGTTCTAGTGGTGTTAAACGTTTGTTCAAACGTTAGAAGGTTCTAGTGACGTTAAACGTTTGTTCAAGCGTTAGAAGGTTCTAGTGGTGTTAAACGTTTGTTCAGGCGTTAGAACGTTCTAGTGATGTCTAGTGACGTTAAACGTTTGTTCAAACATTAGAAGGTTCTAGTGACGTTAAACGTTTGATCAAGCGTTAGAACGTTCTAGTGACGTTAAACGTTTGTTCAAGCGTTAGAAGGTTCTTCTACACACATTTACGTGTCTTGCATCAGCAGAAAGCGCATCTAAAGAATTTATCATACACACAGCGTCTTAATTATTTTCTGCATTTATCAGTTGTTTTTTGTTTTTGTTTTTAAAACAGGGGGAAAAACGACCCAACATTCAAAGAGGAAGCAATGTTCTAGTGTGTCAGGTGTGTTGACACATTGTCTACGTGATTCAAAGCAAATGTGCTGTGTAGGAGGAAACGTTCAACACAGACCCAGAGAAAGCAACACCAACACTTTGTCCACCTACGACTTCCGGTTGAGGATTTTTTCCCGTCAGCTCTTGCACAGTACAAGGCGTCTCATAAGTCAAACAAGTCATAGTTTTCAATTTTGCTGCAATTTTTACGCTGTACCGAAAATTATCGTGATATAAAAAAAATATTTGCGTACGTGTTTTACAGTGCTCGCAACAGCATAGGGTAATATGACCCTGTGGGGCACATTAAACATTTTTAGTCGATAGGAAATTTTGATTTTTGCCCCCAATTCCTTCCTTTTTTCCCTGGTGTTGTGTCTGTGAGTTGAGCTAGTCTTAAGTGAGAATCTAATGTTTGTTCTTCAATTCAGCAAATATGTCGTGTAGAATACTCTTTGGAAATTGGCTTTAGTTCTTGATTACGTGAAGCTAGGCCCACTGGAGACTGGGACCACATCAAACAGAAGAGTGTTGGCATCTTGCCGTGGATGGAAAGCAGAGGAGAGATCATGAATGGTTCATCTAGAAGAATGCTCCTTTCCACCAAAACGTTACCGGTACCGGTAAATTTGCTTTTAACATTAAAACTGAAGGTCTTAACGTAGTATAATGACGCCTAGGTGAGTCCACTTTCCTCGTTTCAAACGTCGTATTGCCACGCACATGATATGGTAGGCTACTTTTTTTCTCTACGTGTTTCACTGTCTTTTCAGTCATTGTGCATCCTTTAAAGTCAGAGCGATCTCATGTTTAGTCCGGG